ATAGTTTTAAGCATCTATACAAATCATTTCTGGAATTATGTCCCTATTGAAGTAAAAAGCTAGGAATTATGTCCTCTGGGGAATATAGACGTAAAGGGACGTAAATTTTATATGCTAAATACTTTAGGGACCCATCTTTATATCCGGGTGTTCTAATCAACCTTGCAAGGTACAGGATCTTCAACAGTGAGTAGCCATAAAAGGTTGCTGAATCAGGACTTAGCAAGTTAGGTTGGGTTTAAACTGGTGGCAGGACTTCTTACCCCCTGAATTTGTCCTACCTAACATGTGGGCTCCACCTCCATGGTGACAAGTTTGTATAGCTGGGTTAAACAGATGATAGGAATGGGTTAACTTAAATGGACCTTTGATATAATATATAATTTGTTGGATATAAATAACTCAATAAAAACCAGTATATCTAGTACCTTTTACCTTAAAAAAAAAAAAAAACATATTAAATATTAGTTTTTTGCTTATAGATTTTTTTCATTAAAATAAAATGTAATTTTTGTTACTATAAATTTTTTTTTTATTTAAATTTTAAAAATTATCTTCTTTTTTGTTATTATTTATTACATAACAATTTCTGATAATTTATATTAGAGTGTATATAGTCATGACTGTAGAGGTAATTTGCAGGTATTAATTTTATTAGAAGTTTTGAATCTCCATAAATTGCATTTAAAGGTTTTGGTTGTTGACAAATGAGTTGGATTGAGAAGATTTATAAACGAAACTCGAAAGTATCTATTTCAAATCAATGTTATGATCAGAAATTACTACAATCTCGAGATCGTCGTAAGCTTAATCCGCAATAATCAATATACTATAAAAAGCCACTGATCCACTTCTACATCCTCCACTTTGACGGAAGAAAGGTCAACTCGCACGATGGCGGACGTAATCAAGAAATACAAAAACGGAAGAGCTCATCGATTATCTACGGAGGCAGGAAGATTTAGATCTCATAGAGGCGGATTTCAAAATATTACGCAATGAGAGAATTTCCAGTTTCGTTTTTTAAATATGACTAAGGATGATTTTCGCAACTATGGTTTTAAGGGAGGTCCTTCAATAGCACTTGCAGAATTTGTCGAGGGTCTCAAAGAGCAGAAAATACGAAGCTTCTCGTCCTATAAAACTCTAGATGAATTAAAAAGACTTTCTCCGCAAGTATAAAGTAAACGGAGAGGAAATTACGTGTATTAAGCAATTCAATCCAGGTAAAATATCATGTAAATTATTTAATAGCGTTATACAACGGACTGATGTATATTTTTCTTCTATAGTTTTTGAGGAAATCGGTGATGATGGTAAAACACTCGAACAATGCATGAATGAAATTACGTTGAGACTTACGAATCTGGAAACAATGCAAACTAACGCCAATGAAGACACGTTATGTGTATTCATTACATAGATATTAACCATCTCTTGCGATCGTCCGATGACTTAGAAGAAAAATATATATATACTGTATCTTACCAGAAAGTGAGGAGTCATCTGGTCGTGTTGATTATGCAATAAAAGGGAACGAAGGGCTTATGTGTATAGCTGAGGGAAAGCCACGTAATGTCGAAATTGGTTACCTCCAGAATATAATACAACTAGAAAGTGCATACCATACTAATAAGAAGCGTACAGCAGATGAAGCTTTCTGGGATGATTATTACGATTATCTCTATGGAATAGTTTCTATAGGTATAATTTAGATTAAATTATCTTGCATTTACAAATATTCCCGAGTTGGTTAATTGAAGTAATCGTTTATTTTAGTAACGGAATGGCATTTTATCATTTTTGCTACGGATGGTCTCTATTGTACCAGTAAAAGTGAATACCGAATAAACCTCTCTAAAACGGCTCTCAAAAGAGGATCTTGAATCAATTCGAAAAGGGGTAAAACGGGTGTTAGGTGTTATTGTTGGGTTATTAAAAAATCGAATCATTGTGGATAACTCCCCAGCCAGTAAGAGGTCCCGAATCAAAAAGATTACTAAAAAATCGTGGGTAGAAGGATTGCCCGCCTTACATGTATTTTTTATTGTAAATAAAGCATTACTGAAAGCAGTTATGTATCCCGGGTGACGTCCCGATCTTTGTATTTATTTTACCAATGTATTAATAAAAATTTTTCTGATTTTCCGATAATTAGCTACTATGTGACTCTTTGATGTACAAAAATATCAACCTTATTTTTAAACTTCATAATCATTCGTGGGTCAATGTGATGACCAGTTAAGCGATCCACAATTCTCGCTCAATTAAACTGAATTAATGTCCATTCTTAGTCTGTGGGATGATTTGCATGATTATCTTCTAATACCTAATTACGTTTACTGTCAAGTTAAAAAATCGTTCTCGCATCTTCTCCACTTTACGTGAAATAAATGATGATCGAAACGTAACCCTATGAAAGATGCTGTCCACCTACAAAAACAAACTCATCGAACTTAGTTTCACTTATCTTAAATCTAGATATCCACACGTCCCCACAATTAATTTTCTAATCGGAATTTCTTTGCATAAATGCACCCATTCATCGTTTTGGAAAATATGCCTTCTATGACATTAACCGCTACTTAATTTTTCGTCGTTGCGAAGATGACCCCGAAAATATCCATTTGTGTATAGGATTCATCACTATAGTTTTTTAACTATTGAGTAAAGGGAAGGAACTGTCTTCTATGGGTTGGGCCCGACATGCTAAATAAGCAGGCAATGGTCCTTTCATTGCTTTTTCTCCCTTGAAACAATCGTTACTCTAGTATTAATTAGTCAGTTGGCCCGTATATTTAAAGTTAAATCTATTATTACTTGATTTTTAAATACGTCTGATGTGATACGTATACATTAAAAAATTTCTTACGCGTAACACAAATGTAAATACCCCGTATAGAAATTTTTGACGTGCAGACTATAATTTTTACCCTTTATACCCCTATATAATTCTCCTTTCCATTTCATTACCGTATTTCGCCACTTCTTTCGAAAATAGATGGACGAAGATAGGAATGAACATTATGAATATTTCGCACAAAAACCTTCAAAATGGGACATTATAGAATTTTTAGAGCAATGCGACCTTGAGCCATACGGCAAAAAAGTGGATCGATACATTAGGTGCCTCAGATGTATTGCTCGTGGTGAGCAAAAAAAGAGAAAAGAAAAGGCAGAAGAGCTTCTTAGAAGATACAGTAAAGTAAGTATAATTTTTTGTCAAATATGCAAGTGAAAAATAGTGACGTGACAAGGACCCAGATCCACTCGGTGCTTGATCATTCAAGGCCATTCGCATTTTTCGCGACCGCCGAGTCACAAAATCAGTGCTGGAGCACAGACGACCCATGTTGGTAACCCACTCGGTGGTCTGATGTTCAAGGCCATGTACTTACCCAGTAACCGCTGATCTAGCACTGATCCTACAGGGCACAGATAACCCTTCAATCGGTTGTCTGATGTTAAAAACCACTCGCTGATCTAGCGATCGTTAACCTGTAGGGTGGAAAACAGGATTATGTTAGTTAAAGATATTAATTAATTGAATCTTGTTTGTAAAAGGGAAATAAACCTGACCAACAACGCGTCAAGGATTGGGAAAAAACACGTAAATCAAGTAAAATAAGCGGTGGTTCCTCGGTTCACATCCACCATTCGACATTATCAGGAAGCAATCTTTCCATTACTGGCAACGGTTCAACTAAAGCTACTACTAAACGCAAACGAGAGGGCCTTAGAGAGAGGAAGGTAATATCTTATGCTGAAAGCTCAACAGATAAAAGTTCCGATTCCAATTGTGAGGAGTCTAGGAGTGTAAGTAACACTAGTGTATTTCAGTTACGGAACTATAATTATT